AAATTAAAAATTGTGTTTTAAACACAATAATTTATTAATCTTAACCCGTTGTCATCTCCAAGTTGACTGCCTCGAACTATTAATTGCCTGAAAGGGGAAAATATCATAAAATGAGATTTAAAAAATCTCAATAAGTACGCCCTGAATTATTATCGTGTATAATTTAAAGGAGTATAATAATCATAATCAACATAATGGAGACACGAGAATTTTACTAATTTTAGGTGGTAAGAATTTTTGTGTGTAGTGCTACTAAACTCTGATTTCCTTAACATAATCATAATCATATTATATCATATGAGACCCATAATAATTTTCTTGAAATTTATAACATAATAATAATCCAAACATAGATAACATACTTACTATGAAATTTAAAGGAAAGAGTAATAAAGACTGAATAAAATTGCTTGATCCCTCTACAATTTTCACCTCGGCTATGTGCATGTATATGTGTATATTATTTGGACTGAAAAATAATAGTGAGTAAAAACATGTGAATGTGATTGAGGGGCTTAAATATGACAAGACTAGGCATGCATCATTAAGGAAAATCCATGATGGTGAAAATGCTATTAATTACAACATTGAAAATTGTTTCTTGAAATTTGTGAAATGAGCAAAAATCTCTTCTTCAATCATCATGTGAATACTACATTCTATATACACATGCATTCACACTACTTATTACCCTATGTTTGGTCAATCATGAATATGACAAAAAGCATATATCAACAATTTTCTATATAAGGGTTCGACCAAGCATTCTACCCTTCTTCAAAGAGCAAAAACGTGTGTCAATTAGCATTTATACTAAGTTTGCTACAAGGTCCGAGAAGGTGGATTAACCTTCAAAGGAGCCCGTAAATTCAGGTGCGGGTATTATACTTGGCTTTGATATTGTAGTGTTCGTTGCTACCATTATATGTGACGTTTAAGGATATTATTCTCTATAGTCTAGATATTCTCATTGTGGATGGGATTTATGATGCTTTACTATCGAATGAGAAGATGAGGCATCTTGCAAATGGATCCAGAGTAAGGCTGAAGGCCTGGCTGTTCGTGTGAGGAATAAAGATAGGAATCTTGGTAGGAATATGAATGGCAAATGGAAATCTAAACATACAAAGAAAGTATGTCATTACTTTAAGAAAAAGACGCATATCAAAGCGGATTGCCATTCATCGAAAAACAGAAATAAAGCTGCTGGTGTTACTGATAAAGAAAGGCAACTTGTTAATACAGTGAAGGTTGATGTTGTAGAAGATGGACAAAGTAAAAGAGAACTTCTTGTGATTTCTAAAATGAGTTCTAAACCTTGGAAAGAATGGGTTCTTGACTCGGCATGTACTTTCAATATATGTCCTAACATGGACTAGTTTACAACATATGAAAGAGTTTCGAAAGGTGTAGTGATTATGAGAAACAACGTGCCTTGCAAAATTGTTGGAGTTGGTACAGTCAGAATTATAATATTTGATGGTGCTATTAGAACACTTACAAATGTAAGACACGTTTCAAAACTAAAGCGAAATCTCATATTTTTTAGTATATTTGACTCAAAGGGTCATAAATATACCGATGAAAATGGTGTTTTGAAGACGAGCTGGGTGCTTTTGTTATCACAAAGGGACAAAAAAACTCTACACAGTTGTACATTTTGTAAAGTTCCACAATTTTAAGGAGATACAACAGTTTCTACTTCTTCTTTGACTGATGAGGAAGTTATTAAACTTTGGCTTATGCAACTTGGGCATATGAGTGAGACTGTTATGACGGAGTTAAGTAGGAAGAGATTTCTTGATGGGCAAAAGACTATTAAGATGAAATTTTGTGAGCATTGTGTATTTGGAAAACGGAAGAGAGTTATATTCACTAAAAAAAGACTCAATACGAAAAGAACGTTTGAAAATATCCATTCAAATCTTTGGGGACCAATCAGGATGCCTTCAAAAGGATGTGCTTATCAATTGTTGACAATGATTGATAACTTCTCCAAAAAAGTTTAGGTATTCTTCTTCAAACAAAAGATTGATGTGTTTGGGAATTTCAAGAAGTGGAAATCATTAATAGAAAAGCAGACTAAAAAGTAGATGAAACGTCTACACACAGATAATTGTTGGAGTTTTGTTCATATGAATTCAATAGCTTCTGCACGGCTGAAGGCATCTTGAGATATTTGACCGTGCCTAGAACTCCTCAATAGAATGGTACGGCAGAATGAATGAATGAAATCTTGATGGAACATGTTTGTTGTATACTTTTAAATTCTAGGCTGCCTAAGATTTTTTGAGCTAAATTTGCTATTATAGCTTCTTCTTTTTTTTATTAATCGCTCACCCTCAATTGTTATTGAGAAAAGAGGCCAGAAGAGTTAAGGTCTGATATGGTAAACCTTCTTGTTATTTCAATTTGAAAATATTTGGTGTCCTACTTATGCTTATGTGATTAATGAAAAGTTGGAGCCCGGGATTAGAAAATAT